TATAGACGATTTGCTTTTTGACACCATCTTGAGCTTGAACTCAATTGCTAGGCTTGTTCACCAAAATGAAATAATTTACAAGCTCTTGAATATAAGAAAAAATTGGAGATAGATCTCAACAAGTTTGTAATCTAGATGTATGAGCCTCAAATATTAATAACTTCTATAATGAAAATTGTCCAAAAATAAAAATTAATAGGGCAAAATTCAAACTCTATTCTTTATTTATTATAGTATAGTATTGATATAAATACCAAATTACGAGCTTTATTTTGCTCTGCTACTAACTAATCTTTATCTTCTTTTACCATCAAAAAATGGAATGAATTGTTTTTGTCCATAATGCCACTAACTAATCCTTGTTTTTTATTCTACTAATTATGTGGTTTATGCTTTTACTTTTATTACAAAATTTTATCTTATTAAACAACTTTTGTCTTATTGAGAAAGGGGATGAGATTCTATCTCTTTCTCACTTTCCTTTTGGCAAAATGCTACCCTGAATATAAATTTTTTTTTCATTGTTTTTAATTCTTAATTATAATGTTAGGAAACCCGTGTGGCCCAGTAGGTAAAGCCACTGAAAAGTGCACATCCCCCTCCTCTGAAACCCGCCCTATGACAAAACTATTCCAAAAAAAAAAAAGAAAAATTATAATGTTAGGAAACGAGGGATTTGGAATTTGCTTTTATCCTTATCCTTATTGTGCCACTACTAATTCTTATCTTTCTAATAAGAAAAAATTGGGATCAATTATTGTGCCATTATGGCACCAAGTGATCATTATCTTCTCTAACCATGAATCTATATAAACAAAACACAATATAACATTTGGTTAAATCTCAACTAATTAATTGTTTAGTTGCATTTACCAAAAAAATAATAATTCTTTAGTTACAGAAAATCATGCCCAAAAAGAATCATGTGCCCTTTAAAAGTACCTCAAACATGGTATGACAAAAATTGTTACATAAAAAAAAATGGAAATCACTTTCTTTTAAATTAAACTGTATAATTATAAAAAGTTAAAAAAAAAAAAACAAAAAACAAAAAGGGGTATGATTTTTTATTTTTATTTTTTAGATTATAGGAACAAACTCAGTGGACTTAAACAGCACAATACATGTAAATTAGGAAAAAAAACCAGAAGAAAGTGGTCAGCAAGCGATATGATCTTTTTCATTGAAAAAATGGAGGGGCAAGTTAAGCCCTTGTAACAAGTTTATGAGATATTGATAAAGAAAAAGAAAAAATTACTAGTCAATGGCATGTTGTCTAGTGTGGTTCTGAGTAGTTAAAAAACAAGTAAAAAATGGTCAGTAATCACACGTACCAGCAATAAGACAATCAGTTTCAATTATGAAGGATGCTTTTTTTGCGTGGTTGCTTGGTGGAAGAAGAAAATTAACAGATGTAGACATGTTAGCTACCCCACCTAAAGTCGCAACAAGTTGCAGTACATACCGAGACGAGCATATATATTAAGTTTTGCATCAGTCGTATAAACTAAAGAAATTTGGAATCTGGTTTCGATTCCGCACCTATAGCTGCGCCATTATTTCTTTCAGGGTTTTTTTTAATAAATGGTTCAGTAATTTTTGTATTTTTTATTTTATTTATTATTTTTAAATAGTATTAAAAATTTTTGGAATCTGGTTTCGATTCCGCACCTATAGCTGCGACATTATTTCTTTCAGGGTTTTTTTTAATAAATGGTTCAGTAATTTTTGTATTTTTTATTTTATTTATTATTTTTAAATAGTATTAAAAATTTTTATTTTTAAATAGTATTAAAATTTTTTATTTTTATTTTAATTTAATCTA